TACAGACGTCCCGAGCCATTCCCAAGGATTAAAACTGGGGCAACCCAGACTCACTTTGAAAACATACCACTATACACATATAGCAGAGCACCAAATACATCCCAGGAGCTACGTTTTTTTTTTTTTTTTTTTTTTCAGTTTTTCTTTTCGCGAATCCACCAGGGGCTACTGGGTACACTTTTTGAGATCTCAAATTTCTCTTGCGAGTGCCATCCGAATCTGCTCTTCTGGCATAAATCCACTCGAGGCCACTGTCGACTTATTGAATGACTGACCAATCGACTGACCCACCCTCTTCCTTCCCTAAATCCAACCAATAGTGTTTTCCAAAGCACCGATACACACACCCACCCCCTCCTTAAACCCAACTGACAGTTTTTGAAAAGCAATCAAGAAAAAAAAGCCCTCAGCTGATTTTTACCACATTTTCAGATTTTACCACATTCTCACCCTGTTATTTACTTGTTTATTTTACCGGCTTTCTTCACCGACCTCAAACCCCATCGTATTGGTCAACTCCTCTCTGCATCTTAAGTCTGCCGACGTACATGATGAGCTACTGAGCAAACTGGTAGCAGAGGGAAAGCAGACCATATGGAAATGCAGTCATGCATCCTTCTGGCTACATAATTCATGATCTCCAGTATTCTATATAGAGCTACATTATCAGAATAAGCCTATGTTGAATTGGGTACATCAGTTGTTAAGTTAGTACATTTTACCATGGTTAATTCATATTTTCAAGTGCCATATGAATTGAAACGTATCCTAATTTTAATTTGCACCAATTTAAATAGGATGACTAATCTGACTTTATCTCTCAACAAGCCAACAGATAATACAGTATAATTTATGTGATGATTGTGCATGCATTGTTTTCAAGTGGGAGTTAAGTACACTTGTTATAAGTGAAAGAGAATATTAACTGTACAATCATGTAGAAGTTGCATTTTTTTAAATACATTTTCCAAAGAAAAAAAGCATCATACCAATATGACACAATGATCCAATTCTCGAGAACTTGGCGTCTGTTTTAAATTGGATCTATGAAAGCGTTCTCTTCTACATCAAAGACATCCATCATTCCCAGACATCCTAATTTGTCACTGACCCACAAAAGAATTATGCAAATTGTGCAATGCAACTTCTACACATTTCTGCAGTTTAATATGCTCTCTAATTTAATATGCTCTCTCACTTATGTTCGTGTCTTGGTCTCTTGATTAATACGAGATCATAAAAATGCATGTATAATACAAGAACTGGAGAAAAGTTGTACAAAATTTCCTAGATTTAGTCTGTGAAGATGCAGAATGCAGGCATTACTCCTTGATACTTTGCTTTGTGAGAAGCATTTCGGTTTATTGAAACAGACGTATATATCTGTAGCCTCTGGATAACTCGTTTTGTGCAGCAAAAATCCAATTACCAAAAGAAAATGGGGCTACATGATGTGAAATCCCAGTGTTTGAGAATCCGAACCCGAACCTCCCTAGTGACGCCATCAAAGACACTGAGATTCCATAAATCCTCCAGGATTGGGGATCATTCCCTGCAATATGAAAAGAATTTTACAAGTCGAATCCTCTTTTCTCATGTTATTTCTCGTTGGTTGCATCATACTCCTCCACATATGGAGAAAATTGAGCAAATTAACGCTCCCCCATCTGTACGTAAAAACCTAATCATGGCTTAATTATTTCTTAACTGCCACATGAGCATGCATTATCAAAGGCTGTCAAGTTAGTGGAAAATGGCAGCTGACAATCCTCAGCAGGACACATCCTGACTTTTCACTTCTGACTTTGTTGTGAAAGTCCGGAGACAAGCCAGGACATGCTATATGGGAATTCCCTGGTATGGGGCAGCCCTCCTGCAGAAGGAAAAAAATTACCTGGCTAAGGTTGCATCTACATGAATCTATTTATATTTGGCATTGTGGTTCAAAATGTGCTCTGCACTTACTTTTCAAACATTTATTCTTAATGCAGACAACAATAGAATGTTAGAGATGCACAAAATTAAAATTCTGTGCCAAAGCAAGAGAATTTTGCTGCAGTTCCATGGCTGGAGCAGGCACAATATTATACAGATTCTAACTGGTGGTGCAATCATAGGGCTTGGTGCTGGGGACTACTTTCAGGCATTGCCCAATATTACTGAGTCAAGCGGCAGTGATTTACATGGTAAGTCAATGCAAACGCACGAATAGACATCCTGCGACGCAAATCGCTCGAGTTCAAATATCTGAACTCAAGCTGACATTTGCGCCATGTTAACCAATCAGAAGCTTCCTCTAGTTGGGGTGTGATGGTGACGTAGCACCTGTGGTTGGTGTCCCGGAGGAATCCTCCAGTCAACACCGACAACAGTTCATCAAACTGGGCTTGACTCAGTCAGAAGCACTGCTGAAAGCCTCCATCATCCAGGTAAAGTTTCAGGAGGAGTTTATGAGCTCATAGAGCTGGATGCACCTCTGAAAGGATCTAGTGGACTCAGAAACGGCCCTAAACGTATCTACGCTGTTTTTCAGCCTCCATAAAGCACAAAAAACACTGTTTTTTTTTTTTTAATAAACTCCATATTAGCCATTTAGCAATGAAGCTACAATCACCGGGCACACAGAAGCCCTGCCAAATCCGTGTCTGTTCTGAAGTGAATTTGACGTGCACATGAAGCGGATTTGACGCCCGAATGAAGCGCGGTTTGAAACACGAATGAAGCGAGTAAACTCAAATGTTCACGCAGCTATTTATACACGAATAGCGCTTACACACAGCATGAGGCAAGTTATTTAATTTGGCAGCCATCTTTAAAACACCTTGGGCAGCATGCTCAGGCATTCTTTCTCAATAGGGAAAAATCAAATTCTCCAATACTGCTTGCCAAGCTTACGATTCAATTTCATATTAGGAATCAACAACACAATTAATCCACAACTGTCTCATAAGTTTCAATTCCAAACTTTCAAATCACACAAAATCTGCAGAAACTGAGGGCTGGTTCGAGCCCCTTCCCCGAAGAATCGTCAGTCAATTGACCTTATTCTCCGCAGACGAGCGGGCGCTGCCATTTGAATCTTTTTGGCACGAGACTTCCGGTCTTATTCACGTCCATTCATTTTTAGACATTAAAAACTGCTCGTTTCACTGTTTGATGTTGCAAACTGATATTTCCTTGTTATATTATTCTTCTTGGTCTGTATAGTCATGCAAACATTTGTTTGTAGAGCGAGTAGTTTGACCATTTTTTGCCGTTTATTATTCCTTGTCATTTCTTCCATAGGTGACTGAAACGGAAGTTCTAAGACAATCGCAAAAACAGGCGCACTTCCGCATTTTAGAATAAGGTCAATAGCAATTGATGATTGGATCCTGTACTAGAAGGCGAGGCTTCATTCGCCATATTGACCATTACACTTTTCCCCATTCAAAACTATTCAAGTGACACGTATGTATATTCTGTAGTCTTTGATGCAGCCCAACTTTTGCATGTGTGTAGAACAGTTCAAGATGAATGTTTAGAAAAAAGAGCCGACGAGTAAAACTTCTTTGTTTGCCACTGAGCATACACAACTGAGCACATGATGGACCAAAACAAAAAAACGATGTATTTCCAGGTCATAAGAAAGACCAGAAATGTGAACGTCAATCTCCTGACTGCTCTGCAAAGATTTCAGTGCATAGTAAAACGATGATACTCTGTATCATATCAAGTCTGACTGAAGTGAAAGCATCTCGAGGTTAAGGCTAATAGAATGACTGATAACATGGTTTCAGTACTGTGGACTTAACATCACTCCCTACCCCCAGCTGTAATAGCTTAATTTGTCACCCTGACACACATACAAACACGCACACACACATACACACTTGGCTCAAATACCTCATTAATGCCCAGCAGCCTATTATCTGAGGAGGAGGGGAAACGTTCAAATTCACTGCAGCCAATTTGAATATGCAATGGGCTAAAGATATAATCACTAAATCTAATTCGACAATTAGAACGGATTCCAGTTTTACACACTTGACACAACTACACTACTTCAATTTTAAAGCAGAAAGAAACTCCATTAGATCAGATATTGCTCAACTACTACATGTGACAGTATTTTGTATATTGTAATTGGTGGAATCAATGGGGGTCGAACGATGCTTTAGGAGACACGGCGACCACGGTTATATCTCCTTCTCGTCACAGGTCTTTCATGTCTGCACTGAGACAACAGGCATAGAGACACAAGAGGCTCCCTTGGGTTTACCAACACCCCCACCTCTTCCCAGAGCTCTTGACAAAGCCTTTCCAGTTGCCAGTCTGACCCAGTAACCTGGCGAGCAGCTCGGGGGTGTTGAGTAGCCTCTCCCGGGCTTCCGACCGCAAGAGAGTCACACAGTCCTCTGTTTGTACATGGAGCAGGTCCTTTTCCTGTCCAGCTTCTGGATCAGATGGCTATGTATTAGACGGGGGCCCGATAGTGACAAGCAGGCGCTGATGGGGAGGTGTGCTACAGCTGAATGTGCTAATCCGGTTAGACACAGGCATCTTTCTTTAAAGCAGTTTCACCGGATTGCACTGCCTACCAGAAATCCACATAGGCCGTACAGTGTGACCGCACGCCAATCTCACTAGCTGTAAATAACAATACTCTCATATAAACCCAACCTTTGGCCTGCCAAAGATACAAAACCCTAGAATCTCATCCAAACAATGACATTCTCCTGATTTACGGCACATAATTGCGCATATGAACATGCACGCTACTATAATTATCTAAATGTTCCCAATCTAGTCAAGCAGGCCCTGAGGGTGGCGTCACTGCAAGCTACAGTTCCCCGTCCATGTCAGGCACTGGTTTAGGAGCTCATGAAATATTGAGAGAGAGCGCAAGCGGCTGAGGGGTGCCGTGAGTTTTTTTGCTGCACGACTCAACAATCAGGTCTAATTAAAGCATTGCAATTTTTAGGCATCAGGAGGGGTGAGGAAAAACACATTCATCTTACCCCCTGGTTCCCCTTGAAGCAAATTGCCGGCTGATTTGGTAAGGACCCCTGGGGACAGAAGAAAAAAGGTAGAAGAGGTTGGTAAGCATCTAGTATTTTTATAGAAAAGGATTAGAAACAGGGATGAAATACTGAAAATGCATCATCGCCACATAAATTTCTAGGTTAAATCATTCATAACGGATGCTTTAACTCTCATAATGCAGTTGAATCCATAACAGGCGCATCATTTTTTGTTTAGTTTTTAGTGTGGGAGTGAAACTTTGTAAATGCACCCATTAAACTATTAAAGTGTACTTTTAGATTATTTTGCAGGTTTAGCATTTGGTTTTATCTTAACATAAAATTGGTTATTTATAATAATTTTTTATATTTTTAATTTACAATATAAGGTGTTCTAGTAACTACATCATGGTCATATTCAGTGTTGAGGGGAACGTTTACAAGTAACGTGTTATGTAATAATATTATTTCCTAAGTTATGAGTAGGGACATTTTTTTATATTTCTGCAGAGAATTTGTAAAAAAAAAAAAATCTGCAGATTTCTGTGGAATATTTTGGGAGTATCGTAACTTAAAAGTTAATACATGGAATAAAAAATCATAGCTTTTCAACTTTTATTTAATGTTTACAATGCAAATTCATCTAGATCCACATCTTTGGTGAATAAAGCAAGTCTATCATATAATAGATCTACTAAGAGACAGAAAATATTAGTTTACTAACTGTATATGAATGTATTCCTTGCAAATAAACCCAAGGAATATATTTAGTCAATAATATTACAGAAATTAGTTTAAAACTGAATAAATCTACAGAAATCTGCAGATTTCTGCACATGCAGATTCTGTGTGGGCCTTGTAATGAGTTAAGTTTTAAAGTGATTAACTTTAAAAAAATAAGTAATAATATTTGAGTTACTCTTTTTGAAAAACGAACGGTGAGTTACTTTAATTAGTTTAATTAATTCTCTTTTAAAAAATAAATTGCTGAATTGCAATTAAAGTAACATTAAATTCACCATGAATAATGCAGTCAATGAGCGAATGTGTTTATTATTTTGAACGCATCGAAGAAAAGGAAAAGTGGATTGTCTCAAAGGAGAGTGATTTTACTAAAAACAAATAGTGCAAATGTAGCAAACACACTGCTTTAAACTTTCAATAATATGTATATATGGGATCTATGTATAGATCTGGGCTCAAAAAGTTATCAGATAACATTATCCTAAAATATTTTTGTATGTTTTTTTTTATAAATTTAAATGTAGGTGTATGCTATTCAGTGTGTTGTTACGTGCAGAACTCTATTTAAAAAATGAGACAGCAAAAAAAAAAAAAAAACGTTCTGAAAGAGATCAAGCCTCAGCCAGGTAATAAATAGCAAAATAATAACGCAAAAGTAACATAACACATCACTAAAAATAAAATGTATACAAGTAACATAAGTAATTACTTTTTTGTGCATTATTTTAAAAGTAACTGGCAGTGGTGTAAAGTAACAATTTACAAACATTGAGTAATTGAGTAGTTTTTTACAGAAATAGCATTTTTCTAAGTAGTTTTAAAAATGTCCACTTTTACTTTCCCTTAAATATATTTTTAGTGCAGTTTCAGTACTTTTACTCCACCACTTTCCTTCAACCTGCAGTCACTACTTTATTATTTCCTGTCTATGAGGATTAGAAAAATCAGTCCTTTAATTCCTGTTCAATCATATGGACCAATCATAGAAAGTAAATCGCATTATACAGAACCACCTTAAGATATGCAGCGAACTTTTTGGAAGCATTAGAAGTGTCCAAGAAGATACTTTGCATGCAATGACCCAGAGACTATTAAGACTGAACATTACTAATGGGAAGATGAAAATTGTTTACTGTATAATGACCAAAATGGCCTTAAGCAATAAGTAAATACACTACAGAATGTTACGTTTACACACACATGCACAAATTACATGTAATACATGTAATCAACCTTTCCCAGTGTAATACGTACTACTCTTGAGTACTTTTTAAAGGGTTACATTTTACTAATACTTTGAGTAATATTTACAATAAATACTTTAGCTCTACTTGAACTACATTTTTGGGCAAATAATGGTACTTTTACTTGAGTATATTTTTCCACCACTAGTCATATTCAAATGTTTGACATATTTGTTGGTGCATTCACTGCATGATTAAATGGAAACTTACTAATCAGATACAATTTACATTGTTATGACAGTTTTATATGCATAAAACATAGTGAGTCTATGCAATTGCCATGGCTGTTTTCAGATATTGAATGCATTATTAAAGTTAACAAAAACAATGCAAAAGTTTGTTTTTTTTGTACCAGCCTCACTAAGAAGTCAGGAAAAACTAATAACCTCTAACTTTCAATTGTAAAACAAGTTATTTTTTGGTCCTTTAGGTTTTTTTTTTTCAATGCAATGAAAGTTCCCATTAACTTTAACAGTAAGGACAAAACAGAGATAAAATACCTTTTTGTTCAGCAAAGTGAATCACACAGGTCTGAAGCGACTTAAGTTTTCATTTTCTTAAGTGTTTGCCCACACTGCCAGCATTTCCACAAGCTGTGTTTAGGTACTAACTTCAGTGAAATATCATGCCTACCTATTGGCCTCCCTTCACAGTAATTACAGTGTCCTATTACTTGCTTGCCCTCATTGGCAGAGGCACAGTTCTCTCCTGTATTAATTCATGCAGACTGCAAGCGAGGGGGGTTGTTTCTGTGAGAATGAAAGGCTGGCTGTCACTGGCCTCTCGGCGGTGCCATGGTTCTGCTTGTGCGAACCTAAAGATCAAGGCCGGGCTTCGCTAATCTGCATTGGAATGTGTCCGATTAATAAATATCAACTTGAAAGACCTTACGTTAGTCAATCAAATGTTATTGTGCGAGGCATGGACGAGTATGAGGATGTTGAGTGTGTACAAGAAGTGGGGGTGGGACAGGGCAAACATCATGGGAAAAGCTTTTAGCCACGACGCTTAGTTCTTAGCACTAATTAGGACAAAGGTAAGCTACAAAAAGCTTTTTCTAAAGGTGCGTCAGATAAAATCAAGCAGGGCTGGACATTATCTACCTTGTGGTGTTTGTCCACCACATAAAGAGTGCACAAATAGGCCTTTTATATAAGCATCTTTCGCGCGCTGAGCTTTTAACACTCAGCTCAGTACAACGTCTAGAAGCATTAACAACATGTATATAAAAAAGACTCATTCACATCACTAATGTAAATTGCTGAGACAGAAAGGAGAAAAATGAGGCTTCCCCCACATAGCTTGAAACCATTGAACAAGGTCAAAAGATAGTAGTTATTATCTTCAAGATACAGCTGGAGCTTTGGTCAACAAGCATGTTTATCTATTATGGATGTTACTGGGAGAGGCCCTCATGTCGCTCCACACATTCAGTGCATATCAAGTTGCTTATTAAAAAAATACAGGCTTATTGGTTATGTGTTTGTTGTCATGTGGTCAGATTAGTGGCTAAACATTACTGAAGGAGGTGGTGGTGGTGGTGTTGATGCTAAACTGAACTTTGGTTTTTATACTGTTGCAGTGAAAGCCAGTAAGCACATACTGAGCACAGTTCAGAGGAGGACAGTGGGGTCTCTATTGACCTGACCTGACCACGTATTTAGACTTATTACAATGAATTAAGTGTGTTTGCTTATTTATTTTTTGTTACCTAATCTGTAACTGATAGTGGTACCTGTTAGTTAAACCCAGACTTACCAACAGAATCACATGTGACTGACTGCAGAGCCACCAATTTCAATAAATGCTGATAAATAATTAGCTTTTAGCACAACTTTTAACATAAAATTCAACTGAAATTAATAAATATTTAACTGTTATCAAGTGTATTTAGAGTTTCTGCAGGTTTTATGAACATAATTAAGCCTTTATAACACCTTAAGAACAAGTAAAGAAAACTGCTGACAGGGGAACATTATATATGTCTCTAAAAGTTAATTTATACTAGGAAGCACAACATACGAACAAACAATGTCTATTATAGTTATATTTAAATCATTTAAATATTATCAGCCTATTCTGATCACGTCTCGTTAAAATTGTGACCATTTTACATATCTACAGATTATAATTTCCTATATGTTTACCTGGGAAGAAGGTTAAATAAATGTTTTTTTTTGTTTGTTTTGTTTTGTTTTTTTTCTGTGAAATTGATTCAAATGACAGTTATTAATAAAACAATAATGAATATCTGATAGTTGGCTTAACTTAATTCAAAAGAAAAACTATTTCCACACTCCAGTGACATTTGGAGTACACTGAACATACCCACTGTACATATACATTTGTAATTATGTTCATTCCTATCTGCATACTTCTGATTATTAATAGCAACCTGTACATATATTCATCTATAGTTAATCTCTGTTCATAGTTAATATTATTGTTTTATTCATAGTATATGCATCTGTAAATATCACTATAGTTTTTCTTTCATTTCACTTTATAACTTAAACCTGTATCCTGCACTTGCTGTTATTGCACTCCTGGTTTGACCTAAACTGCATTTCATTGCCTTGTACTTGTTCATGTGTAATGACAATAAAGTTTAATCTAATCTCATCTATTTTGTCCTTAAACAAACTCACTTAATTTGTTCAATTTTGGACAAGACATGATTTTGTGAAACTTCCACCTCAGCTAAATGTAACTTGATTTAAAGGAATACCCTGCCAGACTGTCAGCTTTGTTATCGTTACTGACAGTTATTGAGACAGATTGGTGAGCTAAATATTGTACATTCACTGACAAAAACACCAACAGATTACTAACAAACCCCCTCAAAATCCTAAAGATTAAGGATTTATTTCCTACTTTTCACTCTTTCTACTGGGTCACATATTTCCGACAATAGGAGAACGTTCATTATGGAGCTCCTGTTGCAAGCTCGAGGAAGTCTTCTCCCGTTCTGATTGGGTCGAACGACATTCTACTCCGCTCGACTGACCAATAAGCGATGACATCGGGACGGCGTCCAAGCGTTTAAAGGACTAACAACAATACGACAGAGCACGCCAACAAAAACACACCTTTATCCTCCAATCACCGACGAGAAGCGCTGGAGCTCAGATGAAGCGAACTGGCTGCGAGCCCCGTCCAGCTGGCGAACACGTTTTACCGCTGAGGTATTGATATTACTGGAATCTGTGCTGTCTACCCGACGGCGACATTGATAAGCATATCGATTACCTTAACGGAGGATAACTTGCAAAAACGCGGCGTGCAAGGAATTTGCTTTACATGAGGCGACACTTTTAAATTTCGTTTAAAGGGACGCATGTACATCCGCGTGCTGTTTTCAGTGGAATACAGAATTATATATAACGTTTATTGTTTGTGACTGACAGCCACAGTCACTTACGTTGCAGGTTCTTTACAATAAAAGTAAAAGGAGGCGCTGTCATTTGAATATATCACTCCCTAGTCCAGTTGAAAAGATATATAGGTTTGTAACAACACAGATAAAAAACGTATTTGTTTTAAATAGAACTGTCCGTTTGACAGATTATTTCTATATTTAGTTTACTAATTGAATGCAAGCAGGTCTAAACTTAACAATACGAGGTTTCAATGTTAAATCTTGAAAGGTTTAACCCTTTGCAGCAAATGTAAATCTTTGAGTGTGTGTGCATATATATATATATATATATATATATATATATATATATATATATATATATATATATATATATATATATATATAAGAGAGAGTAATGAAATGAGAGGAGTGAAATGCATAACATTAATCTTTATGACTAGGCTACTTAAATTGTTAAATGGCACTTATTGTTTAGCTGATGAGTTCAAGCATGAGCCTTGAGCCCCTCTCAGACCGTAAGATCCCCGTCAGAGTTCCGGGCAAATTAAACATTTCTTGTTTTAAAATGCCAATAATCATAATAAGTAATGCATAGTCCAGGATCAAGACGGTGTCATGTTGCATTTCGTATCATTTATCAGAAATAATACCTAAAGCGGCGACTTTATCCCTATTCTAAACTAGAAGATATCAGATTTTGCAAAGCCAATTTCAACTGGCTTAAAGGGAAAAAAATAACACGATTGACATATTTATTTTTGCTACACCATAACAATTAATAGCCTAAATCAATCAAGCAAAACCAACTTTAACGCAACAGTAACAACTGACTGTCCGATTTCCTCCTGGTACTCTCTGTCCCTGTTCAGACAGCATATGGCACTTGGACCGACACACTTTGCCTTAACCAATCAATACTTTACAAGCAGCTATCGGAAGGTACTGTTTTTGGAAGTTGCGAGTTGTAAACTTTTCTCTCTGTCCCATTGAGATCAGTGGAGCAAATGAACAGTGGCGAAATCGAAGCAAAACGCATTACCTTAAGATTCTGATAGGCTTCCAGCGTCCGGATGGCCGTGTCGGTTAGTTTGACGTGAAAGATGGTTTTGTTGGGAATGCTTTTATTAATCTTTCCACAGGAGAGTCCATACCGATGCTCCTGTCTCAACGCTGCCATGTCTGGAACTGAGGTGAACTGGCGACATTCTCGTCCAAACGTCACTCTCTGCCGGGCGGGGCTACGAGACAGCGTTGTGGCGACGTCATAGACACACACACAAACACGCGCGCACACACTCAATGTACATGTGCATTTCACTAATAAACCTACTGAACTAACATCTCCGCTTTTTTATATTATGGTGATATCACCCCTGTATTTACAGGGGCGGACTTAGTAATTTGGGGGCCCTAAGCTATTCCATGTATGAAGCCCTAACATTAAAACTCTCTTTCTATATACAGATATTTTTTTTCCTCTGTAGATTCGTTTTTTGTTGTTGTTTTTTAAAAAAAATAAAATTAATGTAAAATTAAGTACAATTAACAACTTCACAAACTAACTATATGTACAGTTAATTAGCCATATTCGTGATTAGATTTTAATATTTGCATGTGCAGTATGAAATAGCTAAATGTTCTACTATTCATGGAGGCCCCAGGTTTTAGTAAAAATTAGTAATACAGGCAAAATCTTAATGGCTATAGACATATTTTACAACATAATAAAAAAAAATAATAGAAGAGCTATATGATTAATATAGGCTTCTTGGCATTGGTTGGGGCCCTCTAATCCCCCTGGGCCCTAAGCGACTGCTTACCTAGATTACTGGTTAAGTCCACTCCAGTATGTATGTGTATATATATATATATGTGTGTGTGTGTGTGTGTGTGTGTGTGTGTGTGTGTGTGTGTGTAAATATATATATATATACATACATACATACACAGACACACACTGGGAAAATCTTCTCTCTGTTACACAGAAATTGTGGGAAAATAATTCTGACTTCAACTATACATATATCACGTAAAATGCGAGGTTTTAAATTTATAGATATTATGTGAAAAATAAATATTTTAGCATTTTTTAGATTTGTCTAAATTTATTTATGTCTTCATGTATCCTTGAGAGCACATTAACTATTGTTTAAAAACCAATTAACATAATTTAGTTATTCATAAATTATTATTTATCTTATTTAATTATTATTTTAAATTAATCAAGGTTAATATTCAGCAACACAATGATTAACAAATCATTTTAAATCTTACAATACACTGTAAAAAATCCTGGTTGTCTTAAATTTTTGAGCTGAATCAAATTAACCTTATGCGTCCATTGAACTTAAGTTAAACTGACTTAAAACTGCTTGCATTACATATAAAATTAAGTTAGAACATGATTAACGTAGTTTAATAAGTTACAATCAATTAAAAACATAAGCTGTCATGACTAATTGTATATATATTATTACAGTGTTGGTTTTGCTCATCAAAAGTATTTTATCATTTCAAATATTTTAATTACATTTTTAATAATACAGGCCAGAACAAGAATACAGGCTATGTCACCTATATTTTGACATTTTATTTTCACATAAGATATGTGAAATGTATTTACCTGATTTAAATGTACAAAATGACTGACTTGCGTGCAAAATTTTGTCATTTCTAAATGTTGACAGGTTTTTGAACAACCTGTAACGTGATCTGCTTTTCTCTTTTATGAATGTGTAAATCAGGCCCGTAGCCAGCCTAATGAAATAAGTGGTTCTTTTTTCTCAGAAAGTTATTCACCTCATTTACTATTTACCTATGCATTTTAGTGACATTTTGAGCACTATTTTGCTGGATTAGCTTGTCAGATGGTCATCATAACTACACTTTTTGATGTACCAAAAACATTTCCTAAAGATTTAGAATAGAGAAATATGAAAAAAAAAATATTTATACTTATTATTTTAAAATACAAATTTAGCACATCATATATCATTACAAAAAAAAAAAAAAAACATCATAAAAAAGAGTCTATTGTCATTTATTAGGCAAATAAGAAACTGGCCAGCACATTCAACTTTCCTCAGTCAGAATTTGGCCATTTGAAATAATAAAAAGATAAAACATAATAATAATGATAATGAAGAGCTTCCTTATTATTCTAGCCTCTCTTATAAAAAAAGTAAAATTAAAAATTTATAGCAACAATAGCCTAATTTAGTGTTAAAATGAACTTTATTATACTTCAAAATTAACTTTTGGTGCTTTGCACCTTTTTAATGGGTTTTTGTCCAAGATTTAGAATAAAAGTTACTTGTAAAAATGTTTATTTTCTATTTAACAACAATACAGTCACTCAGTATTAAAAGATGACTTCACTTGTCAGATTTACATCTTAAAGCTTTCTTCGATTTGTTAATTTTACTATTTATGATGGCATAGCAGTCAAAATAGAACAAATGAGCTCTCGTCAGTGAAGGGTGGGTCTTTCGAACTACCTGAACCCCACTGGCTATGGGCCTGTATAGGTGCATATGTATAGTAAATTAATTCACAAATAAATACAAGAAGAACATTTATGCACTGAAGCTATATAAAATGCTTTTATCAAATCACTTACAGTTTTATTAAATTAGAAAATATAGATATTACAAAAAATATGTTAGAACAGATAAAAAGCAAAAGCTTTATATAACAAGGTAAATGTAATAGTGAAACAAACGTTGATATACCATCAAGTCATCTGAAAAATCTCAATTTCACGTCCGAACAAAACTCTGCATGTCAAATCCGCTTTTCTAGTACCATATCAAATGAAAACAAATATTCCCCTGAAACCAGTCAGTTGAAAAACAACAGCTATCAGTCTGAGATGAAGCAAGCAAACATGAGTATGTCTGAGAAAGCTTCATTGTAGCAGCAATTGCAAGTCTTGAAGATTACAAGGTATTAAAGAAATGTCCTGTGAACAAAATGATGAGGGAAAAGCTCAGCCTGTCATTTTAAACAAGATGGAAAATGTGCATACAGAAAAACGATTCACTTAATCTAGCCAGGCAATCATCTGCACCTTTTAAGCTTGCAAACAGATGAGGTGAAATGGACAGTGAGCGGGAAAAATAGAGAATTTAGGTTAATTGGAAGACATAATCCCCAACAGACAAGGTGCTTGGGCCTTTGGATTAAGGAGCTCTCTCTCATAGTCTCTAATGGAAACTCTACTTGCCATATGGCTGTCTGAGATACAGGGACATCTGAAGCCGGCTGGATGAAAAAAATATATAATATATGCTTCTTCAGATTGTGCCTGAAACCGCTTTGGAATATTATGCCATCTTACATTAAATATACACATGTATTCAACTTCTATTAGGCAGAATCATTAATGAAGTGTCAGAGTTGTACTGTAAATAGTGATTAAAGTACATGAGATTTACTGGGGTGGTGCAGTTGCTTTGTAAAATTCAAAATAATATATATTTATATTTCATAGCCTTGAATCTTAAACAGTTTGTGACCTGAAACTCATTATCATTTACTTTAAAAAATTGTTTCACATTTAGCAAGAGAATCTTTCAGAGCTGGTATGATATCCCCATATGTAGCAATCCCCAGTTGATAGATTTAAGCTTGCCAAGTCGATAAACAAAGATTGGTCTTTTATATAAAATCCCTTCAAGCCATTTTCCCCCGTTCAAAGTGTAATCCTATACTGTAAAAAACAATTACTTAAAAAAGAGAGTAAATATATCGCCTTAAAAGTGGCAAGTTGATTTTACTTACAAAATGTAAAATATTTCTATTGCAACTTAGAACTATTAAGTTAACTTAATTTTTTATAATTATGCAGTTTGTTTACATTATGAAATGTGATTGGTAAGTAAACTGTTACAAAATAATGTAAGTAAACCTATTGTAACTTGGAACTGTTAGGCTGACTTAATGTTTATTATTATGCTTATTGTTCTCACTTTTTTAAAGTCAACTTTTCTTTTTTACAACGTAAGACTATTTTAGCATGTCTGTTTTCAAATAATTACTGCAATTATTACACTATTACATATTTGGTGCTTTATTAAGTCTATAAAATCTACAATCATAGCCTGTATTGAGTTTAGAAGACACACTGGAGCCTGGATTTTAGTTACTGTCACTTTGCTAGATACAGAACAGCTGAAAAAAAAAAAAAAAAAAAAAAAAAATATATATATATATATATATATATATATATATATATATATATATATATATATATATATATATATATATATACAGTATACTGTATAATAAATGTGTACTGGAAAAAGTGATTAGTTTACTTATGTATTAAAATAGTAAATGCAATTTGCATAATAATAAAAATTAAGTCAGCTTAACAGTTTCAAGTTACAATGGGTTTACTTATACTATTTTTGTAAAAGCAACTTATTTCTTTTAAGGCAATTGGTTTATTCCCTTTAAGTAACTAATCACTTTTTACAGTGTACACAGTAAAACCCAAAATGGTAGTTTAAACCATTTGAGGAAACCGATTACAACAAACCATTTCATAAACTAATCCAAATGAGTACTGTGAACCTAATCTATTTTAGTAAATGAAGCAATTTGAGCACAGTAAAACCTAATAAATGAAGAAAACTCAAACCATCTGAGTACTGTAAAACCCAAAGAGTTAAGGCAACTCAAACTGTTTGAGGAAACGGATTGCAACAAACCATTTGAGTAAAAAAAAAAAAAAAGTCTATATGAATAATGTGAACTTAATCCATTTAAGTTAAAGTAATGAGGTATTTAATTAACTCATTACCTTTAGCACTGATTTCAAAACTCTTTTCAAATGAGTAGAATTAACTTCCAGTAAATTTTGAGTTAACTACACTTATTTCATTTGATAAAGTTGACTGTTGACTTTTATATTCATTCAAATTCTAGGTTGCTTCTTCATCAACACTACTCTACCATAGCTGTTCAAGCGCTATTGTAAGTTTCAGGCTAAACAAGAAATCAATCCTTAAATTCACTCATGCCATAAACAGTGCCAACCGCCTCTAGAGAATGCAGAAAACAAATACAACTCTCTAGAGTGTTTTAACCGTAGAGACAAAACCAAGATCAACATTATCAAAGCTGAACATGAAGTCACATCTTTGTGCATTTACAGTACAGTAATGATGTGACACTGTTAAATGGGGCAAGAATGTAACGTTTATTATGTTTTGCTCAAATTTTGACATGTACAAGCGGTCCAAATGCTGCCAAGCGTAAATGATTGATTGCTGTATTTGAGTGTTTTTTTTAAT